TTCTCTGGGTTATGACCCATCCTGACCCTTTGTTATGCCTGTATGGCTGATTCTATCTCGGCCTTTCCTTGGTTTCTGCCTCCTGTTGCTTGACTCTTTGCCACACCTTAATTAAAGACTTTCAAGAGTTGAAAATACCTGGCTTGCAAAGGATTACAATGGGAAGTGTGAGGTGGAGGGAGGTAATGGAGTTGGTACAACTCCATTTATACCAATCTGGGATAATATATTGCTACACATTGAGTGTAGTAATTAGAATACATTATTGAGTTGTGCTGATTCTGCCTTTCATGTTTGGCATTTAAATTCCTACCATGTAAATTTAGGGGTATTAATACTTGTATAATTAGAAAGTCTGCTCTGTTACACATTTTAATTATAAAAAATCCTGTAGTGCTGTGTAATTTCTTGCCTTCTTATGTAGGAATAGATATCTTTGCCTTGACAGACCTAAAACGTATTTAATAATGATAAAACACCCTGAGATACTTGCTGGAGTTGGATCTAAAGAAGGGAAAACATTGCTTATTTTTAGTACTGTATAAAGTATGTTAGAGTTCTAGGTCAGTGCTTGTATCTTGGTGTTTTTAAACACTGGTTTCATCGAATACACATTGTAAGCTCCTGGTTATGATAATTTTGATCCTATGAATTTCTTGAAGACAAAGACAGGGTGGAGGTCATATTGGTCTTTCAATCTTCACCCATTACCTTGTTTGGTCACTGTTGCACGTTACTGCAACCTTCTCAGCCTTTTTTGTTCCCAAGCCTTCTCCTATTTTAAAAGCTGCTTCTCATTTTGCAACCACTGGTACATACACCTGCACCCCTTTAAAACGGTGTTTATTCTCCATGTGCTTATTCCCTCTTGCATATGACTTTTCTGGAACTGTGGGTTTTTTAATGCTTTGTTGTTTGAGTCTTAGGGCAATGTTCCTGACTCTGTTCTTCTGGGCACATAATGGCCAAGCTTACAATCTGCAGCCAGCCTGGTGAAGAACATGGCAAGAGTGAAAAACTCATCTGCAGTGTTCCCTGCTGGGTAAGATGGACCTAACCATCCTAAGAAAACCAAGATCTGTCTCAAATATTTTCTCTTTTTTTTTTTGTGCAGAAAAGATGTAACTATATTGAGTCAGTTCCTGAAGCTGGTGCTTTCAGTTGAGAATGACTCTCTCCTCACTATGTTTATTCTGAACACAAAATCAGATTGACCAGGTCATTTCAGACTGCTCAGACCTGAGTGGAAGGGGAACACTGTTCTCACAGCCATGCTCTGTATTTGGGGCTATTTCAGGGTCAATATCTTTCTTTGGGTATTCTTGGGATGAAAAAAATGAGCAGTCAGCTACTGGTCTTGCATTAACTTTTCTCCACCTCTTCCTTTATCCCCTGTACAGCAACACCCTAGAACTTTTTAACATGTGAGTTTTGCTAATTAATGTAAGCTTTGAAGCATTTTTGGGTTTGTATCTAAACACCTATTTTTTCTTGTTTTATTGGCTTTTCCCTATTCCTTTGTCAATAAAAGTAATTTTTTACCTGTGGTCAGTCCAAGCTTTCAGTGTTTTCTTAGCCATTCACTCTCTAATTGCAACTCTCCTGGATTTTAGCTTTGGTGTATTTTTTGTGGCAGACTGTTATGACATACATTTTTTGGTGCTTAGTTTCTGTCAGGTTTTGTGGGAATCTCTTATGGAGCTTGTTTATTTAGCTTAATTTAAAAGTGCTCTGCCATCCCTGTCTTGTCATTGTGCTTTTCCCTGGTAGTCATTAGTCATTCTGTGAAGAAACCACTGATAGAAGCTGAGATGACAGACTGCTCCAGCTCATAACATCAGCATTGCATTTTACAGGTTTTTTGCCATATTTTTGCTGGTGCTTCTCTTAGACGTTTCTGAAAAGATGTATTTAGGTACTTTGAACTTCTATTTTTACCCCACAGCCTGTACATCCTCACTCTAGCATTAATAGCACAGTGCCGTTGGCCTACAAAGAGGAATTCTAATGTCAGAATATTGACTTCAGCCTCTTTTGTGAAAACAGAAACCTATTTTTTTTCCCTTAGGCTTCAGAATATATCGTCTAACATATTTTTTACTTGTCTTTTCCTGTTGATTTTCTTAATCATTTCAGGGATTTTGTTTGCATCCTCAAGCTTGTTATGCAGAAATTATGGAGATGATCTTAGGTCCTTTGCATTTTCCTTCATCTTGAAAAATTCATCCAACTGTTACTCACATAGAAGTATCATGCAGTTCCCAGTAATTCACCCAGAGCACATCAAGTTACTTTTCTTTTAGGCAAACTTTCTGCAAGAAAATTCTTGCAGCAATTAGGATCAGGGATGCCAGTCTCATTTATGTTGCTTTTTCCATTTTTATTTTGGATATTAAGGTATCTTACATTTTTTTCTTCTCACTCTTTGTGCCACCTCAAGTCCTGCCTTAATGTTCCCAGTTTCTAGGCTTATTCCAGCTTGGGAATTTTGCAAGTTTCTGAAGGTACTTGTGGGTGAGGAGTTGGAAAGCGTAGCAATGTGTTGTGCAATTTCCACTTCTAAATATTATTTATTTGAAGCCACACTCAAGGCAATTGGCTGCTACTGTGTGCCCAATGTATGAACAGTTCCTGTGCTTTGGAGATACTAATTCCTCACATTCCCTCTTGCCGAATGTATCACAGTTTATTCTTCATATTTAAGTATCAGTGTCTCAGAGCTGAAATTAAACATTTGCTTGCTCAAGGATTTCAGGACCATGCTTGTTTGATTGTCACATTACCTGCACAGCTTTACTTTTGCAAGCATTTGCTGAGACTTACTTCACAGTGTGCTTTTATGTTCACTAAAAACCTTATTGAAACTTTGGCTTCCTGATAATTTTCATTAAACCTTGCTGGGTTTGCCTCTGAGTCCACTTCTTTGGGCTGCTCTTTGCTTGGGTTACTATCTTTTAGGAAAGCTGAATTTTCTGCCAAAAATACAAACCCAGAAAATATTGCTGATAGTCTGTCCACAAGAGGAGGCACCAGAGAGTAAGAGGTCCAGGCCAACACAAGATCCCTCAGCCTGGTTTTGAGCAGAGCTTAACCAGTGACATGAGGTGACACTGGTGTAAATAACTATTCATTCATGTGGATTTCAGACAGTTAGAACATTCTGAAAACACTGCAAAAGGAAAGATAACGGTAACACCTGGCAGGATAAAGTCCTGGCTGGCTCATTTGGTTTTGTTCTGCTTCTGACACTGGTGCTTTGATTCCAGTTAAACCTGACCCATGCTCTGAAAGAGGTGAATTAATTTACTGATGTCAAAATACTACACCAACATGAAATATCTAAAATTAAACAATGGAATATGGACCAAACAGAGAAGAGATGAACACGATTGTATTCAGTCTATTAATGAAATTTATGTCATTCAGCATTTATTCTGACTTCAGTTGCCTGCACAAAACTAACATTCTTCCCTTTTTTCCAAATTTTAAACTTGATGTTTTGGTTTGAAAAAACAATTTTTTCTGATTTTATGTTTTGCTGATTTCAGCCTCACAATGGGCAATGGTACCTGACTTGCACTGGTTTCAGCAAGGCCATGGAGCCCACCTCAACCTACACCACACCATGCTGCCCAGCACAGGCACAGATAAGGCCGTGAAAGACTCCACTCCCATGCTGTCCTCATTGTATCATGCAGGCAAGTATGCACCCACAAGAGCTGCAAAGTTTGGCCAAACGAAGGAGACGGATTGCTATCACTGAGTCACATTACTTTCTTCATGTTGCCAGGTTTGCAAAACAGCACATTTATGTCTGCGTTGGAGGGCACAGCAATGTCTTGTTCAGACTTGTACTTCAATTTTAGCGAAGACACTTTCTCTTTGCAATGCAAGACCAAATCCTCTGGTAATTGGCACACAGTGCTTTCCCCCTGTCTGTGCTTCAAACTCAGTGTGAATCCCTTCATTATCAGAGCATAGATTGTTTTTATGTCTCCTATAAACTTACTGATAACTGGTAATAATATCCCAGATTCTGAAATTGTAGAAAACTAACCAAGGCACATGAAGCTTTCAGTTTGGTTGCATGCTACAAAATATTAAAAAAAAAAAAAATAAAAAGGAATTACATTTTTGATTAATCTTACAATATAAAGAAATTAAACATTCTGATTTTTTGAATTATTTAATTGTAATATGAGCTTTTAAGTACTATCTCCATATCATTCACTTGGTGAAACACTTATTTTTTCCATTTACTGGAAAAAAAGTTTGATTGAACATTCAAGGCAAATTTTTCAGATATCACATGTAGCAATTTTGTCTTCTAACTGCATCCTTAGTCTTCAGGTACTCTTGTCTTTGCCTGTGGGGACATGTTTGTGCTGGCCATCAAATCTGAATTTACAACCACAAATTTAATAATGTTTGTGACTAAAGCATCTGGAAAATCTAACCTATTGTTAAGGATGTACTATGCACTATTGTAACTGTATTCTATGTAACTATATAATCTAACCAATGTGTAACACTCATAATCTGAATTCAGTGATTCTGAGATGAACCCTTACATATGTTTTTAAAGTTTCTGAGGCAGATGAAACCGAGTTTCACTTGTCTCATATCCAGTGGTCAACAAGGGCTTTCAAATGGTGTCCCTCCAATCCAAATCTCCCAATAAACTCTAGAAGTTCCCTAGCACAAGCTTCAGGACAAATACTTTGGGTACAAGTGATTTCACATTTCCATTCAAGGTTTGCTTTAAGCAGAGAGGTGTGCTTTTGGACAGGGATCAGTTTGATGTATCTCAGTATGGCAAATATATGGGGTGCAGCAAAAGGGCAGGCAGTGATGAAGAGGGAGGGACAGAGGGAGGGAAAGAAATTGAGACTTCATACAGCTCAGTCTGCACACAGAACTGGTGGAACAACAAAGAAGAGCACCTTTTCCAAGCTCCAACACCTCCTTTTTGATAGACAAGCCAATAAAACAGCTCAGAAATGCTGACAGTAACTCAAGCTTTTGTAGTCCTGATATTTTTTTTGTTAATTGTTCAGTTTTTCAAACTGCGAAAAGCTTGCAAGCAATTCCCTCCTGGACCAACTCCTCTCCCATTGCTTGGAAACTTGGTGCACCTGAACTTTCAATTTCACCGGGATCTTCTGATGGAGGTATTTCTTTTAAGATGTTCTTAATCAGTCATTTTTAGTCACAGATTAAAAAAGCCTGGTATGTTATTAACCAAACTGAAGCTTTTAAGTTTTAGAAAGTTACAGACAAGGTATGGATATACAAAGATCAACTTGGTTCCTATATTCAGGTCACCTTCTTATGTAGAATATGTCATCTTCATGAGAATCCTAATGTCCTTAAGAATCAAGTAAACTTGGGGACAGGGTTTCTGACTTGTTATTAAAGTTGGAAAACACTAATAATATAAAATATGTTTCTGTACTGCTGATAAGTCCCTATGTGATAGTTTTGAAAATGCTGACTGGCATTACCTAATTTAATCACTAAGGGACAATATGTTGAATGTGTATGTATGCTTATAGCACAGGAAGGGCATTCATTCCCCATCGTCCTACACCTCCTGATGGCTATCTGTTTGCCACTTGTTTTTAATGATAGCTGCAATAAGTCTTCTAATGGTTTACAGATGACCTCTAATTCAGGTGAATATGGCTAGGACAGCACACATGAATCACTGAGTGCAGAGCAGACTTAGGCAGTGATGCTCCAACAGGGAGAGGAAAACTGGAATCTGAAGAATTATTAGGAGAAGCAAGTGACTGGTGTGAGCAGTTGGATGTAATTCTAGTGGCACCTTAGACACTGTGTACCATCTCTTTTGTATCATTATGGGTGTGCTGGAGCAGAATCCCATACTTGTACAAAGGTTTTCCCATGAATGATTGGATTTCCTCTGTCATACACCCATCTCTGCTTGAATAGTTCTGCCGTGTCCAATGGTGAATGCTCTCCTCAGTGCTCTGAGGAAACCCTGGACTTGGCTGCAGCCTACTGGCATTTCATAGCTGTTGACTAATTTCTGGCTCCACATCCTCTCCTGGAGCACAGATGGTGCAGGTTTAGTCAGCTGGTTTCCTTTTGCTAAGAACAGGCTCACTTGAGGCGCAGAACCCCAGAGCCGTGCAGAGTGTGTCTGTTCAGATCAACAAGGTACAAATGTTGGGGTTGGATGTGATGTCACATAAAGCACAAAGTTTTCTTTCTTTTGCTGCGGTGTTGCTGCAGGCTGTGCTTTGAAAAGAAAATCAGTTTCCCCAGGGTAAATAAAATTGGCTGCTGAAAGCATTGTTCTCAGCAAAACAACAGTCTCTCTCTGCTTCTATCTACAATTATATGCCCGGGGATGATGTTTTCAGCACAAAACTATCCATTGGTGAATAGCAGGTGCAGTGTCTGTTCAAGATGTATACATGGGACTTAATCTGTTCTTTCCTGGCACCTTTTCCACTTACAGCTGGCAAAAACTCATGGTAACATATATACTTTGTGGTTCGGGTGGACCCCAGTGATCATACTGAATGGATTTCAAGCAGTGAAGGATGGCATGACCACACACCCTGACGATGTTTCTGGACGGTTGGTGTCACCTTTCTTCAGGGCAATGGCCAAAGGAAAAGGTGAGATTTTCCTGCCACAAATATAGCACAGGAATGGTGACTTGGCAAACTATTCTGCCCTCCTGATCTTCCATCAGATACACTCCAAGTCCTCAATTACCTCTTGAGAATAACTTACAATTTGTTATGGTGCTTTTCGTACTGAGTTTACCCAAGGCTGGGAAACACTCCAGGTTGTTTCTAGGTGATCTTTTTGCTGCTTTCAAGATATATGTATGTGATCCAACTCAGAACTCAGTGATCTTGCTCTCATCACAGACTAATCCATTGTGCTGCACATGATTTTGCTGTACATCATGTGAATGCAAAGCTTGTTTGGTAACTATACGTAATAGTTGCCAAATACTTTCCATCATGAGCAAGAGACCTATGAAAACCTCATTCAGAATTCGCATTGCTGTATTTGCAGACACTCCTAAACATTTTTTGAATATCCTCTGACTGTGAGAGTGCCTCTGACACAGGAAAACTCACTTCTTCTTAGTGTATTCCGACAGTTTGCAGTCTTTTCTTTTCCCTTCCCTGCATTTGCTATACCAAAGCAGACACAGGTTGTTTAAAGGTAGGTAAAGCGTCACCATCGCAGCTCTTCAGGTGACCACAGGTTCAATTTAACAATCAGTGGAGTGTTCTCTCTTCCACAGGAGAAACAGAGACCAAATGTCACTTATCCTTCACCTTCCTTACCTCAGCCTACAACCATCACATCAATTGATCTATACCTTCATAAACATACCCTGCCCTGTACTCCACCCTGTGGAAATTCATCCAGTTACTCCTGTCCTGAGCATGATCACTTGACTATGGCTAAAGCAGATTTCCTAAAAAGGCACCTTAAGGTATTGTTTGTTTTTTTTTCAAGACATCAAGAAATGGAGCAGTCAGAAAATCCTTAGACTGCTCTTTTCAATTGTGAACTACAATCAATATTAAGACGATGTGGCCTAGTTATAGTTTGGGTATGTTCGGCTATGATTTCTGATTATCGATAATTTCACCTAAAGATATTTGTATCACAGTATATTCCCAGATTTATTCCATTTATTTTATAATACATATTCAAATGAATCATTCATGTCTGTGGCAAATATTGATATGCCAGGGAATACCCTCAGGTATTATATTGGCAACTGGTCGCTCCTGGAAGCAGCAGAGACGCTTTGGAATAATGACTCTACGCAATTTGGGAATGGGAAAAAAGGGCCTGGAGCATCGAGTGCAAGAGGAGGCCTCTCACCTGGTGGAGTTTTTTGTGAACCTAAAAGGTAACTGCCTGCTAAGAAACCAAGCACTTTTCAGTCTGGATCCATATCTTCAGTATGCAAACTTACTTACCCTTTCTAGGGTCAGGGTTAGATCCACAGCGGTGTATCCAAACTTACTAAAGCCTAAGAGCAGATAGAGCACAGAATCACAAGTGGGAACTTCTTTCTAAAATAGCTGTTCATAAACCTAATGAAGTTGTGAACTTCTGAGATCCTACCTCCATGGGCTGATTGTTTGTCTGTAACATGATTGTACAATGATGTGATGCCGCTGAATTGCGCAGCCAAGCAGTTCTCAGGCTGCCTGCAACAGGGAACTGAAGAGTATTGCAGAGTTTGGTAATTTCAATGACATTGGGTGCCACTGATATTTTAAAATCTGTCTGGCTTAGTAACTACTGGCAAGAGAATCAAAGAAAGTAGGAGGTGGGAGGGAACTTCAGTGAATTATCAGGTTAATCCTAGAGTCCAAGCCAGGATCATTTCTACCCAAATCATATTTTATGGATGTCTGTCTCATAATTAAAAAAAAAAAATCAGGCAGAGATATGATGATCTACTGCTCACAGCTGAGGCTGTAATAGTTTTATTATTTATATTTTGCAGTTCCTGTCCATCTATTCTTCTTCTTAAACCTTCCCAAGTTCATCCAGTCTTTACGTTTTTGAATGCCTGAATTCCCTTAGTTCATCTCTAGTGACATTTTTTCCTTCTTATATTGTGATTTGTCTTCCTCCAGACAACTGAGGACAGCAGATTTTATATGATATCCTGCAACAGATCTTAGCTGGACAACATTATTTCACAGAAAGGGGTTTTAGATTGTTTCAGAGCTATGAGGAAATAGTTTAACAGTGTCCTTTGCTCTAAGGCTATGTCTTATTTTCATTAATTCATATTCGTGCCACATTTCTGTCCCCATTCATGCCCCAGCTGGATAAAAGGAACATTTTATGCAGTCTCTAATAACACTTTGTCCTATCTGTATAAGCAACACTTTAAGAAAACACTGAGAGTGAGTATCTGTTACTGTGTTTGCAGGAAGACCTGTGGATCCTTCTTTCCCTCTTTTCCATTCTATTTCAAATGTGATTTGTGCTGTAGTTTTTGGATATCACTTCTCTGATGAAGACAAAACCTTCCATGAAATGATCCATGCCACAGAGAATTTATTCAGATTTGCAGGCAGTTTTTTTCATCAGGTGAGTAAATCATATGCTGGTTTTTTTCTGAAATATGTAGAAAATGAAAGAGCAAATACAAAAATGTGTCTTTACTAAATACAGACAAGAGGCAAATGCAAGTTGGGAGAGAAGAAGTGTCCTGGGAACCTTATTACTGCCTCTTTGGCTATGAGGACATTTTTAAAAACTGTCTTGTTTCTTTGCAAGTTTAGGGGGTACCTCTCTCTGTTGACTCCTGCATTTCTAAGGAGTCAACAGAGGCTTCCACATTTCTAAGACTATTAACAGAAACCTTTAAATTTAATTTGAGACTGGAGTTTGTAATAAACCTGAACTCTGAAGTGCTGCTTCTCCCACCTCTATTTACTTCTCTCTCCAAAAATTGGTATCATTGAATTCACTGTTCTGCTTTTTACTACTCTGCAAATTGTATGCTGAACATTTTCTTTGCTTTTTCCTCCCTCACAAATAACAAAATATTAATTATGAATTTTTTCCTTACTTCATAATAGCTCCCAATTCACACATTGCAAAATCAATACAAACATTCTCTGACAGTCTCGCGATTCTAGTTCTGTCAGAGAGTTTTTGGTAGGTACTTCCCACAACATACCATAAAGGACAACTTTGCACTTGAAGGGTCTTGAAGAGCACTTGAAGTTTTTCCCATGAATTAGACTTTGTAGTTTAGACCCTTAAAGAGCATCAAGCTGTGTGTAATGGAGAATATGGATGGCCAGGCAAATTCCATTGACAGTTGAATTTTACAGGAAAAGGCAAACTAAAATGCTGTTGTGGTAGTAAAGCTATTCAGCAAATCTTAGGGGCATGAGCAGAGTGTTGTCAGAACTGCCTTGACCCCTGGAATTGTGTCAAATTACTAGTAAAGTTTTACCACATGATGGCAAAAACCTGCTCAAAGCAATACTAAATTGTTTATTCCGCTATCAACATTTCCAGATAGGACAATTCAGCCTTTTGGTGTCTCTAAAAGCAGCTTTGTTAGTGACAGAGAATTCACACTACCTCTTGTGTGTCACTCCTGCAGATGTATGAAATCCTCCCTTGGCTGATGTGCCGTCTCCCTGGGCCTCATAAGAAGGCATTGGCTTGCTATGATGTCCTGAGTTCTTTTGCAAGAAAGGAGGTCAGAAGACACATGGAGAGAGGGATACCAGCTGAGCCACAGGATTTCATTGACTTTTACCTGGCTGAGATGGAGAAAGTAAGTGTTTGTTCTGTGTGATCGCACCTTTATGGAGTATAAGGCCCAGTATGTCAGGGGGTGAACTCATGAGCTATCATCTGCTTTCCACAAATATTCATGTGCATACTTCAATCCTGTAGTAAATATGAGACAGTTTATTCCTGTAGGTTACATAACTTTGGTAGAAACCACCTCATCTTCCAAAACAAGGCACCTCATGTGTACAATGGGTTTAAATATGCATAAACAGATCATTTCCCTGAAACAGGACAGTGCTTCTTTGGGATTCGGTGTGTGCTCTAACACTGACTGTCCTTGTGCCACATAACTGTATGGTTCCTCCCTTGGCAGGGAATCATTATCCCTGCTTTACCTCTAATTTCCCCACACCTTGAGACCTAGTTGGCTTGGCACCTATATTCTAATTGAATGGCCTAGGACAGGGCTATAATAAGCATTAATCTTCTTCCCTACCCAAGCTATTATTTTCCATAGTAGGAAGTAGCTCATGAGCCAGAGAGGCTGTCTAAGAGCACCAGAGTTTCTGCTTCAAACTTTATCTTTTTGGGGTACTTTTGGGAAGTAAAAGAAGCATCTCTTTCCTGGGGTAGATGAAGTTTATGTAGCTTCCACATCTGATCATAAGTTTATAGCTAATCAGGCTGCCGCCTCCTCACAGTGTTGGCTCAGGGGCTCTGAAAGGAGCTGATACGTCACCTTGCATTTTATATCTGAATTGAGTATGACAAGATTTGTCAAAATAAGCATTTTAGAGGCAAAGATTTCTGGTGTCAGGGGTGTGATTTATTGCAGTATTTATTGCATTATTTTAAAATGTTTTGCCTTTTCCTCAAATATATTTTTACTTTACTCCCTTATTATTCAGAAGAAAATACCTCTCCTCCCCCAGTTCACATTTATCCTGAACTGAGAAAAGAAATTACTTTCAAGGTGTTCTCTGGAGATTCTTTTATTCAGATGGGATTTCCTTTGGTATTTTCTAGCACCATTTGCAGACCAAGGCCTGAAGAGTGGCACACTGTAGGGCACTTGTATAGAAGCACACTCTAATCTAACTGCAAAACTTGTAGTGTGCTTTAAAGTTTTCATGATTAGGTCATCAGACGCAGAATTGCCTTTTTTAAATGAAAGAATATTCCACCTCATGAAAGACAGCAAGGCAGACTTACCATGTCTATTTGGGAAACTACTAAACTCTCAGAATTAATCAAAACTGTAATTTTGGCTATTCTTTGTGCACATGCCAGCTGTGGAAATAAGGATTCTCACACAGAGGCCATATAAGATAACCTAACTTTTATGCCTTAACTTCAACTTTTTATCATCATCTGCAGTCTAAAGAGGGGGTCAAGCCCAAGTATGATGAAGACAATTTGGTCTATGTCATAAATGATCTTTTCCTCGGTGGATCGGAGACCTCAAGCACAACATTGTACTGGGGACTGCTCTATATGGTCGTGAATCCAGATATTCAAGGTGAGAGGGATTCTTGTGAAATGCTGTGGGTACTACAAATGTTAATGATGGCTGAATAGAAAGAGTTGCAGCCTGCCTCTCACTCTCTGAAAATACAAAGAATGGCAGCAGAGAAAAAAAACAGACCCATTCTGTGACCTGACCAAGCCAAGTGGCTGAAGGCACTTGCAGTGAGATCAAAGTTAGTTCTTGGCAGTGACAAGTCAGTGAGATTCTCTGTGTGGAGAGTTTGCAGGTGACTGATGGCAGCAGGAACAGAGATCAAAGCTCTGAGTTCCATCTGCACCTGACACCATTGGGGTATGAGGAATGTTGACATAACTTTGTGGTGTTTGCCATACAGTCTCATCTCACATTTATAGCAGCCTATGTTCACTGCCCTCCTGTGAGGCAGTGAGCCCAACTCTCCTTGCTGAGCACACCAGTGCTCTTCACAAACCACTGGACCCCTTGCACCGCTCCAGTGTGTTCCTGGACCACACTACTGGTGGTTTTTTCCTGTATATTTTAATTGTCCTACATTAAACTCTAGTATTAAATAATATTAAATTGCAGTTTATAGACCTGATGTACTATGCTGAAATAATAAATTTTCCTGTTGCTCTAAGAAAAGAGACCAGTTAAAATATTTTATACATTTCCTCATCTGAAGTGGTGAATATTTCTCCACAGAGAAAGTGCAGAAGGAGCTGGATGCTGTTCTGGGTCCTTCCCAGTTAATTTGCTATGAGGACCGGAGAAAACTGCCCTACACAAATGCTGTGGTCCATGAGATTCAGCGCTTCAGCAACATTGTCGTTGTGGGCATGCCCAGGGTGTGTGTGAGGAACACAACACTGCTAGGATTCCCTGTCAAAAGGGTACAGACACATTTTCAGCTTCTGTTCTTTCTTCAGTAAAGAGACACTTATTTAGCTCTCCTTTCAGTTTTGTAACCCATTTTCAATCTATGAGCCATTTGCCATTTAACTCAGGAATGTGGTGCCTGGGGAAGGGTTACTATTTGTGGCCAAACAAATTAGTCCTTTGCTTAATGTGTAGGTGCTCAGACAGCTGATAAGGCCCCTATCAGGGAAGCCTTGAGCTCCTGCCCATCATCACAACTGCAGAGACCAGCTCTGCTTGGCTGGGGATGGACTGGGAGGATAAACTGGTTTGCCAAAGCACTGGTTAAGACTCCTCTGTTCAACTTGGCACTTGTGCAAATGGCAACAAGCAGCAGTTATTTCTGTCAGGCAGAAACTGATGGGTGACAGACCAGTATCTGGAAGGGAATCAACAGTTTCTTCTTTGCAGGGCACCATCGTTATACCAAATATAGGATCTGTTCTGTATGACCCTGAGGAATGGGAGACACCTCGACAGTTCAACCCGGGCCATTTTCTGGATAAAGAAGGAAACTTCATCCCTCGAGAAGCTTTCTTACCATTCTCAGCAGGTAAATGCACTGGTAGTTTGAACTGACCCAATAGATAAAATGAAGAATATAGAAGTGTGAGATTATGGCATTTCTTCAGATAACATCTTCTATCTCTGCTGTTTGCTGCTTTTAAAGAACAGTACTGGCTTGTTTCTGTCAAGGCAGAGGCTTCTGTGCCATCATATCCCAAATTGTCCTTAGTACTCTGTGGTGGTAATCCCACTCAAACTGGGCTGGTTGCAGGCTGCAGTCATACACAGGTTTTGTCTGTAGTATTCTTTATACATACTTACGTTCCTGAGAAGCAGTGTGTCTTCTTTGTACTGGAGTTACTTGCAATCCCTTTTAAAGGATCAAGATGAAAGAAAAGCAGAATGCATCCTGATAAACAAAAGATTAGGTTCTTGCTTACAGAACCGGAAATCCAGTTGCAAAAGAAGGAAATAAGATAGCAATGTACGCACAGTTAGCAATCACACATAGCAGTAAAGTTCCTACTGATGGTTTTGTTTTAGTTTCTCTGTTGATATAACAGACCAGTCACCTATATGTCCATTCAGTGGTTTCTTAATGAAAATGGCTTTTTCTTTTATTTTCTGTTAGTCTGGAGATGTGAATGTATTATTCACCTGTTCTGCTCACATCATTGGTGCCAATGGAGAACCCTGGGAAATGAACAGTAGGCCTCATGCTTTGCCTATGAGGTGACCAAGCCTCTGTTCAACTGCAAATGCCATTACTAAGTAATTCTGATCCACTGATGTTAACTCACTAAGAAAGGATGTGCAAGCAGCTGGCAGATTCTTTGTGTATGATCCTGCAGCTCAACATCTCCTGAAAAAGGAAAATAGTTTTCTATCAGGTCTAGAAAGAAATTATGTTTGTACATTAGGGATTTTCATTGAAATTTTCATTTGGTGTCTCCTAAACTGTGACATTGGATCGGATCTTTTTGAGAAGGAATTCACATAGTTTTAATTCTGTGGCTTTCATGATCCTGTCCTTTGACAACAACAAAAAAAAACACCCTCTGCTTGCAACAAGAATGAACTAAGTGACTGTGAAGCTGAAAAATTCCTAGATACTCACTGTCCTTCCCTCTTCCCTCTGCAGGGCACCGTGTGTGTTTGGGGGAGCACCTAGCGAGGACCGAGCTCTTTATTTTCTTTGCCAACCTGCTGAGGGCTTTCACCTTCCAGCTCCCCGAGGGAGTGACAGAGATCAACACAGAGCCCATTTTGGGGGGTACCCTGCAGCCCCACCCATACAGGGTTTGTGCCATTCCACGCTAGGCTGCAGCAGTCACAGACCAGCACGAGACAGCCACCTTTACCTCTGTGAATTTCCTCTCAATGTATAAACCTCCTTCTACTAGCCAGGATATTGATATTAGTCTATCCCAGAGCTACTCAGAAAGTGGACGCAAGCCAAGATCCAGACTGTCAGTACTTTTGGTTTGGTCTTTGTGAAAGTCAAAGATATCCTCGCAAGGATCTTAACCAATTTCTCCTCTCGGAGAGCAAGTGATGCCAGATGCTATGGTTCCCAGCTGAAGCCAACATGCTGTGTCCCCTTGTCCTGGCCAAGCAAAATCCTTATGCTCAGTCCTGAGCAAACCTCAGTAAAATTCAACAGAGGATTTCAGCAAGAGCTGAGTAGGTGCCATTCCTGTGAGTGGTCTGATAACCTCATGTAATTTGACTCTGAAAAACACCCTTTTAAAGCCCTGTTTTGGTTTTAGTGTCCTGAACTTAGACACTTTAATTTGTTGACATGTTGCAAATAAAAAACCAAAACCAACAAACAAACAAAAACCAAACAAAACCACAAACCAACACCTAAATTCCAGGAAACACATTAGAATGTGGGTAATTTGTGTCTGAATTTGATGTTAAGTATCTTCCACGTACAAGGTAAAAAGAGTCATCTTAAAGTTGAAGAAAAAAACTTAAATTTGGTGTTAACTAGTAGTGTGAATGTGTGACTTCACAGCCTGATCATGGTTATAACATATTGCCAAATTATTTGTTAGTTGTTTGTTTGCTTGTTTTAATTTTAAGGATGTAGAAACACACTCGTTCTCAATCCTTATCAGAAGAGGTATAAATGTGAGATGAGAGAGTCATTTTTGCAGTGGGCTTCACTGGTAACTCCACAGCAGAGGAACATAGAGACTTTGGAAGGCAGCCTCTAGGGGATATTTAAACACCTGATACTCCTCATTTTCTCTGGACCCTTTTCTTCTTTCATTACAACCCACACCACATTTCCTGCTCTCCATTCAATTTCTTTCTAATCCTCCTTCCCCAGTTTCAGTTCCTGCTCCCACCTACCCTTTATCCTTATAAACTCTATTTCAGGATTCACCTTGATGTGATGACATCAAGCTTCTGTCTCCTTTTTTCTGCACAAGTATTAGTCAAGGAATCCACGATGAACTGAAAACAATCACCAGTGTGTTTTCAGGAGGGATTTTGGAAAATCTGATGTATTTTTTCCTTATGGCTCCAGATCATGGAAAGAAGAGCACAGTAACTATGGAGGGCACACTATAAGTGACCTAGTGTAAGAAAAGGCATAAATGATGATGTGATACAGGAATTCTAAAATATCTATTACTTCAAGTAGCTGTTCATTGGCACTGATTCAACTCAAGACCAAGACAGTTTGAGCATACAGCTGGAGGTGACAGTCAAGTTCAACTGTAGCTTTGTTAAGGCAAAGTTCTGCAGAATTCTCGAATAAAAATCACTTTTGGAAAGGATTCAAATATTGGAGTTGAGTAGAGCTGCCTGTAGACACTGCTGTAAACTTAGCATTGAATTTGTACTGAGGACCAAAAGTGCTTTTATGTTGGAATAGAAACTATTTGTAATTAAATCACTGTGGTACATCTGAGCTCCCTGAATTTAATAATGGAGGAGAATGCTACTACAAAAAAGTGAGAACTACTGAAAATCAGGCTGAGCCTGACCAGATCGTGGTGTGCCTTGTAGCTCTGGCACAATCCAGTTTTGGCAGGCTTGCTGGGCTGGAAGGGAAATTAGGGCAGCAATAGGTTTCACAAAAGCAATAGCTGTAATAAATAATCCAGCCTGTTACTCCACATAGCGTATCAAATAGTGTTCCAGGGCCTACACACTTCTGCTCAGCCTCCTTTCCACCTTTGTCTGCACTTATCCTCCACCCTGCCCTCCCACACCTGCTCCTCTCCACTAACCCTGCTAGAGGTGGTGCCTCTCACTGCCTTGGCCTGCTCCACTTGTCATCTTGCCACTCACTGAAGAAGCTTAATCATAAGATGTGTGTGAAACTGGTTGTGCTCAAGGGCTGAAACAGTAAATCCACTGAGATTGTGCTCAGTCCTGTTGATAAACGGCTTCCCCATAACTAGGCAGGGCTCAGGAGTGGCACAAGGTGGAAGAACTGGGAATGTACTGCCCATTTCAGCCACTCCAGGACCCTGTCCACCAGCCTCCTACCAGGCAGTAAAAAGAAGCATATTTGCTTTTGAAGAATCTATTAGAAAATCTGGCTGAAGAGCAGGAGACCCCCTGCTTTACCTTTGGCTGACTTAGTTTCCAGACTGTCTGACACAGTAGTTTAGCTATTCCTGAGCAGTGGAGCCAGTGTGGTGTGTGTAACCTCCTACATGGATTAGTCCACATGGGACAAGCAGTGAGAGAGTTTTCTGGGCTAGTGACCTACAGCATCTACTTATACTCATGTATTCCTGTAAAGATTTGAAGAGACATGATGGAGGAAGGCAAACAAACTCAGGAAACGTGATCTTCCTCCTTTGGGAAGCTTGGGAGTGCTTCTGATATGGAAAACCATACTGTTTCTCCTCCTAAAGATCCTTCTCTCAGTAACTGTCCAGGGTTGCAGACCTCCAGCTCCTGGACTGACTAACCTCTGGCAGTGGAGAAATTTGCAAGTTATAGGGAAAGAGCTGAAGTGATCCCAGGGCACTGGTTTGATGACAGCAGTTACTTCGGGTTGGCCCAGATGGTCAGTTTTCTCAACTGACTTCCCTAATTCTCTGTCCACAGCCCTTCCCATTCCTTTCTGGCCCCTCCAAGTACTGCTTTCCCTCCTGTCCATCATCTGTCATCACTTGGCTACCCACTGTTACAGGCCCATGGTACGTGTCTGCCTTACGCCATCGAAGGGCTGCCAGGCTGAAAGGTGTACGCCCTGCTGCTGATGGCTGCAGTGGTGTAACACTTCTTTTAATTACAGAGATTAACTCTCCCACCCCATCTTTTTTTTATTTTATAACCAGTGTCAGCCACAGCCTCAGATCTCTGAGTTGAGGTAGAACTGTCATCCTTAATAATACCGCTTGGAAGGTTTTGAAATTGGGTTGCACGAGTCTATTCCAGAGAAAGATGTGCAAATGAGTGTATTACTTTTTAAAGCACTGTGATTCCTCTGGGGAAAAGTCAGTTCATGTCACAGATCTGCAGAAATGTTGCTTTGTTTCGTATTTGCAGGATAGCAGGAGTGTGTCAACCCACAAAACCTAAAATATTCAATGTTGATGGATAGGAGAGAGCTGCCTAACATTATACTCAGCTCTGCTAAATTACAGTTAAGGAAAATACCAGCGAGTTGTCTGACAACAGGATCCTCTGCTAATTTTTTTCTTGTGTCTTTCTTTCTGTTTCATGGTGGAGCTCTACTGGGTAGCAATATTAGTGCCACAACCATAAGCAGGCTATGTGCCAAACTCTAGGGAAGCTATTTACCCTGGCAAAAGGAAAAAGCAGATACTGGAGACAAAGAGGGCCTTGTGTAAAAGTTTGTAGATTTTGCATCCATCCAAAGACTAAAAGCAAGAGTCGATTTTTTTCTCTTCTGTTCAAACAAGTTGTTTGGGAAACTGGTTTGTGCCCAAGACGCAGGCTAAACCATCCCTGTTGATGCTTCAGGGTAGGACCCAGTGAATCTACAGCACACAGTAGGGGAATCTGACATTTATGGGATTAGATTTGGGAAAAAATAATATTATCTGCTGCACCAACATACACATTTGGGGAAACTATTTCTGTACTTTTAAGGAAGTCTAGAAAGTCTTGGACAAGCAGGAGGTGAGACAACAGGAAATGTTTGCTGTCTCTGCAGTGGAAGGGTTGGCATGTATCGAAATCAACCAAAATGGAGATGGGTCAGAAGAGCCAGAGGGGGTTGCACTGCACGTGCCTTGTTGGTAAGCTGTGCCTCATAATGGGATGTTATGTATTTATTTATTTCTGTTCAGCAGTTGGATAGATTTTCAGCAGGAAAATTACTTTAGGTTTGTTTGATACCAGTACAGTGTTTCTGGTTTGTCCTGCTCTCACAAACTTTTCTAACACACGTGCTGTCAGAAATGGAACAAGAGATCATCTAAACTTTCACCTGACACACCATGGCTGTGTGGAAGTTTTTTAAAACTCAGAATTAAAATAGCTTCATATTTATCTTCATCGTGAACATTTATTGTCATAATCTTACATTTTCTATTTGAACAATTTGCTCTTCTTTCAGACAGTGCCCTGACCAAGTGCCTGCTGAGACTTAACTGGGGAGATGATGCTCATCTAAGCAATTGTAATCCTGGAGTATGAGCCAAAATGCATTCATGTTATTCATTTGTCTCTGATTAAAAGGTTTGCCTCTGGAATTTTTTTAAGCTTAATTTATTCATTTACCAAATGTCTTCAGGTGAGGAAAAAAGCATTGTGAACAGGAAATCTGATTTTCTTTAGTACTAGAACAAAATTTCATGGTAAAAAAGGAGATAATATGCTAATTGAATTAGGGCTACACACACTTCCTTTAACACATTGTTAAGGAGCCATTTGTCATCAGATATGAGATCTACATCCAACTCCATGCTCTCAGGGCTGCCTTGAACTGGGAACAGGGGTAACCCAAGACAAGGAAATCCCTCCCCATAAAATCCTTGTGCCATAAATGTTATCTGCCCACTTCTTTTTTATCTTCAATATCTCCATTATATTTATCATTACTACATTAATGTTTGCAGCCAAATTAAATTGAAAGTAACAACAAACCTCAGTGTCACATAAGAACAGATTTATGGAGATTTGAAGACAGTTGAGTTTCAACATGTAAAAAATATAGTTTATGTACTTACAAAAATCATCATGAACTCAAATATTCAGTGGCAGAGAGAGAAGAGGGAACTGTGTATGCGCTGCAGAATAAAGCAAGGGCCAGAGAGATAAGCCACACCACATAGTGATTGCAGCACAAGCAACAGCAAACATGGGATCTGAAGAAAAGCTCTGCCATTTCACTGTAAACATTACAGTTAAGGCAGCTGTAAATCAAATGGTGGGAGATATGGGCACTACAATTTGAATCAGCAAGTCCCTTTGTTATTTTAGATTCATGGATAAAAACTGTCCCTGGGAAAAGGTCAACTCTTCAACCTTTTTCCAACACACATAGGCAAATTTCATTTCATCCTTGTCTCCCAACCCTTTGAGATATCTCTCTAGGTTGAAATCATACTGTTAGAAATTGTTCTCATTTGTTGAGGTGAATTACACCTTACTTTTAACAGAAATTCATAACCAGGGGTCTGGTCTAATCAGCTCTACCAAGAAGGTGCCTTCTCTGAGAACTAAATCTTACTAAACCAACAGTTTTTGCTTGTTGGGTGGTTTTTTTTAGCTCAAGTGAGTTCAAACCAGTTCACAGTCATGATATATAAAAGATACATAAAAGAACAGTAAGTGATGAGTTTATCATTCTGTGGGTATTAAGAGGGTATAGCAGAGGCAGGTAGCCGGTTGCAAGAAGCTTGTTCAGGAAACAGACACCAGTCAGGAGCTGGAATACAGCTTTATTTAGCAGTGCAAGTGCCCCAAAACATCACTTACATTCTTGACTGCGTGGTATACAAAGTTCTTGACTGATTATAGACTAGTGATGAGACAGCATACAGGGTTTAGGTATCCCACCAGTGAACTTTGTAAGAGGTGAGGTTCATGCAACTCAGTTATCAGTGTCATTATCAACAAACCAGCAATTTTAAAATCTTCATTTATCTTTCCAATAGGTGAGCTTTAATTTTCTGATCCCATCTATCAACCTGCTTCCACTACCCAGTGGGGGAATCAGAGATCTCAAGTTTAAGTGTTTAAATGTACGTTTGCCCTGAGAAGGGAGATGGGGGTAGCTGGTTCTCAAAAAGGTGTTACACCCCAGCCTGAGGGAGAATTGACCAGTTTGGATATGAGCAGTGGATGAACAAGACTCCTGCCTGGCTCCAAAGTTTTGAGTGGTCCCTGCAATGCAGTAATTCCTTACAGCTTGCAGGAGGGTAAAGCCTAATCTGGACAGTGCCAAGGCATGAGCTGTGGCTTTGTGGCCAGGCCAGAAGCAGCTGAAGAGCAAAACACTCTTTCTGCTTGTGAAACCTGATGATGAGCTTGGACCAGACTGGCAATAGCTGGACTTTATAAAATACTGTGAGCAGAAAAGGGGAGGAAAGATGTCTGAACTGGGACTAAAAGTACTGGGGAAAAAATGGATTCCTAAACCTGGGGAGAGATGCTGGGGCTCAGGGTCTGAAAGACTTTCCAGAGAAAGATGTGTTGGAGGGAGAGAGCAATATGGTTTGTAAAGAAGGAATTTGTTTGGAATTTGTGGGAGATGGCAGGTGAGCAAAAAACAGTGCTTGAAATAAAGCAGGAAAGGAAAAAACCAAAAATATACCAGGGGAAGAGAGAGAGAAATGACCATGAGTGGTAGAAAACTGGCGGCTGCTCACTGAAGTTTGGCACCTGTTAGAAGAGTTTGGCAATTCCCAGCCTCCACTTCAACAGTTGGTGCCTCAGCTCCCTTCAGTCAGTCCCATGTCCAGCACTCTGCCCCACTGCCACTGGCTGTAGTGATGTTAGTTTTTCAAGCCCAAGAAGCATCTGCTGTCCAACTTCTCTCCAGTCTCCACTCCACTGCTCTTAGAGGGCAAATTTCTGGCCCTCCATTAAGTTTGAGAGTACTGTAGTCTTGAGGCAGCTTTACACAGTGACTGCAAATCTCAGAAAAGTTTTAATTTGATTTATATTTTTTGTAAGCATTTTACTTATTCTAGTTTCTGTAAAACTGAGTTTGAACCTGCATCCCTGAGCACTGATAATATTTGTCCACCTTTGAGATGCCTCTGTGGTATCCTCCACAATCACCCTGTGATTCCTTTGGAGTACACAGTGCCAGGGCTTCAAAGATGGGCAAGTGCCTGAAACCTGCATTGGTGCTCCTGCTGTTGGCAGCAGGTGCTTTCAGAGCACTGTCTGTCACAAATATCCTTCTGGCACTTAGATACATCCTTCTGGTGTGTTCAGTGCCATGGCCAGTTTTGGTTTGGCTGTTTTGTAACGTCCTGTAGGTGCATGGAAAGATTCATTTCAATGAGTCTCAGTAAAAACTCACAGCTATGGTTGGATACTCACTGCACCAGATAAGGTCTGTATGAAGGGATGGTACAAAGGTATCTAGAATTAGGTTTGAATTGATTTACTGTGCTCTCTGGTGATTAGGAAGAGTTGAAGAGCAGAAAATGTTTTGCAATATGACATTTTTCAATTATTCTAAACTCCTTGCAGAACTCTTAGAGGGAAAAGGGGTTTTTGAGTCTGGCTGAACATAAAAATGAAGATACAATGTACAAAATAATACATGGGATAAAGCCAGACAAATGTGGGCACGATAAAACACAGGAAAAATACTCCTAAATTATGTGGGTCATTCTCCAGGATGCTCTGAGGAGCCACTATAAATCTGTATGATTGATCTGTTAAGGTGGTTCCAAAGAGCTCATATTAGCTGGAACAAATGAATGACTTTATACATGTATGGAAATGTATCTTATAGAAATGAATAAAAAATCGTGGGTTTCACTGTAGATTTCTCCTTGCTCCAGAGGCATCCACAGGAAATAAAGCAATCAAATTTAAAAAACACAGCAGCTATGAACCCTATCTTTTAGACCAAATCAAAAGGATTTAAATTATTTTCTCCCTCCATGTACTGAGGGGAATAATAATTTAAATGAAATTTCCATTCAAAATAGCTTTTACAGTTCCTCCCTGGGGGGAAGAGGGGAGTCTCAGTAGGAGCTGAGAGACTAAAGTGCACTGGGTGAGAAATAGCTGGTGGAAAAATGTCATCTATTAAACAAACTTCAGCTCAGCAGCCCCTTCCCTGCTGAAGGTTCCAGAAAAGAAAATTTACAAGGAACTTAGTGAAGTGGTGGGAAGGAGACAAACATCTTTCCTGCTGTTGGAGTAAAAGGAGTTCAGCTTTTATCCCGATAAGCACTGAGGACAGATGGGGAGCATCAAGGAGACAAGGGAGGGTTCAGCAGCTCCAGTTTTTCTTTCCTAATTAGCAGTGTCCGAGTTGTGCTGAGAAAAGGAGACCAGCCCTCCTGAGCCAGCTCCTCTCCCCACCACTGAAAACAGGCTTCAGGCTCTGATGTCTTCAGATACCACAACCAACACAACATCTGCAGGAAGTTATACAACTTGGATATTTTAAAGTAGTTGGCAGATAGATGATAAAGTAATCTAAAGATGCCATGTAAATAAGGTATGTTATACATGGAGTGATGCTGTATCTGTATTTTACTCTTGCGAAAACATACAGCACTGCCAGAGTCCCTGGAAAAAAACATGGATTTAGGGGAGCCTGCTGAGCCCTGAGAGGGAATGAAAATACAGTGTTTGTGACTCAGCCAAAAGTCAGTTAAGAAAATAGCATTTTCCCCCTCGGGGAACAATTAAGTCAGTCTGAAAAACTTCAGTTTACTGTTGCAAGCAGAGGCAGGCTAACCGGGATATTTCCAATTTCAAAATAAGTTATAGTACTTAAAAACTTCCAAAAGAAATCTGTGGTGCTCCACACAATAAATACAGATTTATTTAAGCTTCTCTCCTTGAAAAAATACTAGCCCAAATTATGCCAACCTACCTACGTTTATTTTGCCATATTTGATGACAACCCATAGTCACCAGT